TCTGGCATCACACTGGCCTCCAGTCCTGGGGCTGGCTCCGCTGACAGCTCCAGGGCACTGCAAATGCCTATCTATCTTATCCCTCCCCGCCCCCGGCCTCCCCTCCCTCTATGAGACCAAAACTTGCCATGATCGGACACATCCAGGGCCCACAAAACCCTCTCAGCAGAGCCCTTGAGGGTTTGAATCTCACCTCTCCCCCACCCCAGCACTCCCCAGCCACGGGGTGCTGCAGTGTGTGTGGGTAGGCGTAACATAGAGATCACAGACCAGCATCATGTCCTGCTGCATCTGGGCTCACTGACTGCAGCCCCACAGCAGCAAAGAGACGAAGCCAAGCCGGGTGGGCAGCCAGGAGGATTAAATGGAGGTGCAGGCCTCCCGTTTCCAGGCTGACTCAGCCAGCTGAGAACCATGCGTCACGGGCACGTGGGGTGAGCGGGTGCTGGGTGTACTGCCAGGATCTGCACCCCGCAGAGCAGACTCACAGCAGTGATGTACACCAGGGCAGAGCCCAGTGTGGGCAACTAAATCCCAGTAGGTGGTTCCTGTTGATGTTTCGGGAGAGAAGTGGGAAGGGGGTGTTGCCTGCTTGCATTTACACTAGAAATTCAGGTCTTGTCTACCCTGTTTCTCCTGGCAGACACCAGCGAGTGGAGAACCAGGCATCGCATATCCTGGGAATGGGGCTTTATTTGGACTGTTTAAAATACCTTGTTTATTGTTTGGGCTTTGATGCCCATTTAACTCAAAGGTCTGAGAAACAGGTGGAAGGAAAGCGCTCTCTGTTAAGATTTGGCACTCCGGCCTCTTCATGTGAGGGACCAGAGAGCTCCCAAGCAATGTATGTGAGATCGCCAAGGAGTCTGTCCCAGGGTGGCTGGCCCTTCAACAGGAAATGGGTCTCTCTGCCCCACCTGCAACATTGTTAACTCACCTGCCCAGGCGGGAAAAAGGATAATGACTTATGTGACTCAATTAGGCCTTGGGGATAAATAAGGGAGTATTAACCAGGAACTCAGATCTTGCCTATGGTTAACTGGATGTGCTCTAAGGTCCACACCTCAGAGTCCCCACCCAGCAGACTCATTCCCCCAAACCGCATCTATCAATGGAGAGAAAACTAAGGACAGGATTAACTATAAAGCAAACTGGTTTATTAAACAGTGACTCAAACAGGAAACAGTAACTTATAGGACCCGCAGCAAAACAATATACAAAGGGCATACAGGTACAGGTTGGCATAACAAACTGACTTAAAGTCAAGGTCCCAAACCCATAAGGACAAAGGGGAATTTACTACAGGTAAGGTACAGAGGTATCCAGCATACTACACCAGGTTCAGAGGCAGTGGCGGATTAATGATTTTTGCCGCCCCTAGGCCCAGGGTTTTTTGCCACCCCAAGATCGAAAATCCCAAAGCAAAAAAAAAAACCTCCGAGTAGGCCATGTGACCCTTGCTCTTTCCCACCGTAGAGAGAAAAAGGCGCCAGTTGTCTCAAGAAGAAGGTCAACAACTCCTTACAAACAAAATGGCGACGTACCTAAACAAAATGGAACTTGTAGTTTTTCCCCTACAGGAGAGGCCTGAGTAAAGGGAAAGGGACATTTCAGCAAAGGCCTGGCGAAGATGGCTGAGTAGCACCAGAACAGCAACAGGTTTTTTTTTGGCTTGCTGGCATCTCTGAGCCGGAGTGTGTGGAGAGACAAGAAATCCTGGGGCGTGTGGCTGGAAAGAGAGAGAGAGAGCAGAAAGCCAGCCAGACACTTTGTTTCTACCACTTCATTGGCAGAACTGAAATCGGCCCCTGGAAAGGGAACCTTATTTTGAACTGTGGTGGGGAGTAGTTCAGATGCCCTGTGGAGAGGGGAAACTGAGGCAGAGCCACTGCAGCACCAAGGCAGGCCACGAGGGGGTGCTTGGGAGGTAGCCAGCCCTGTTCCAGTGTCCTTCTGCAGGATCACGGCAAGCAGATCTGACAGGGCTGCGAAACAAGCAGAAACAAGACATGAACCCTGGGCTCCCCTACCCTCCAACACCATCTCCTCTTTCCATCCCAAAGCTGGGTCACCCAGCTGTGAAAATGGGGCCCCTGGTGATGCTGTGGAGGTGGGCTGTGGGCAGTAGGAGCAGGGCTGATCTGGGGTTAGTAGATGGTGTATGGGCCTAGGAGCCAGTACCTCTGGTTTCCACTCCTGGCTCTGGCACTGACTCACTGTGACCTGGGCCATGTCCTGTTAGCATCTGTCACAGGGAGCTAATGATCTCAGGTCTCCGGGAGAGCAGTGCAAAGCTGGGCTGGAGGAGCTCTGCTCTGCACATGCCAGGCAGTCCCAGAGTGCTGCCCCCACACCCTCCCCCATTACTCCTGGTTGTGCCGGGGTGGGGGGGGAGGGAGATGGACCAGGCACCATTCTGCATGCACTCCCATAGCAAACACTCCCATAGCAACAGACAGCAGGGTGCGCTGGGGGTAAGCAGCCTCCCCCCGCCATAATGAGGAATGAAAAGGGTTCGGTGGGGGTAGGGGAAGATGTGGGTCTGGCCAAAATCAGAGCGATGCAGCAGCAAGCTCACTCTGGGCAGCCCAGAACCTCAGCATGGTCCCCTGAGCGTAAGCAGACTGAGCAATCGCTTAGGGTCCAGGGTAGCTCAAGGGGGGGGGGGGGGAGGGCTGTTCGCTTTTAAATATTATTGGGGGGGACAAAAATATTCCTGCTTAGAGCCCCCAATGGGCTGGCACCACCTCTGCATGACAGTGAGCCTGGCCCTGCAGCAAGAGCTGTCGATACACACCCGCCCCCTCAGACAGCTGGTACATACACATACAATCATGCATGACAGCCTCACCACCCCTTGCACGCACACACTGCTGCTTTGAAACTTCGCAAACGCCCAGTCCAGCCCTTCTCTTCAGCTGCTCTGGGCAGCATGCTGCTCGGTACCCACTCCCCTGCCCACCCAGCTCCTGTCTCCGTTCCCCTGCAGGAGGCACAGTCCCACAGTCTCAGCTGCTAAGAGCCTGGCAGATGGGGCCTGAGCTCCACTCCTCGGTACCCCAGGCTATTAGAGCCGAGCCCAGCGGGGAGGCCAGGGGCATGGTGCAAGCCTGCCTGCCTCATCAGGCCTTTTGCCAGCTCTCCAAGCCGCTCACAAATCAATGCAGCTCAGCAATCACCTGTAACAAGGGAGTTTCCTATAGATGCATTTCCAGCCCCTCATGGGACCAGAGCCTTCCCCCATGGCCCCTTTTCCAGCCACCCTGTGTGACCAGCAAGGTGTGTCCACGGCTTCTTGCCACCATCCACACAGGGTAATTGTTGGTTGTAATGATCAAGCCCCTGTCTCCCTGGTGGGGGTTCCCTGTGCTGCCTAGATCCCAGTAGTCTGAGGAGGCTGGAGACCTGTGGTGGGGCTGAATCCCCCTTTCCTTGGGCAAATCCCTAGTGCAGGGATTCTCCACCCGTGCAATCTGGAGACAAGAATCCACCCTCTTCAGGCCCGACTGAGCCAGACACAATCTCTCTCTCCCCGCTCAGGCCCACATCTCAGTCCCTGTTTGTAGATCGCACCATGGCTCACTCCTAGTGCTGGTGGCTCACTCCCACACCCTGGCAGACCTAGGAGCTCCTGCTGGGCTGGAGTTGACTCTGCGACACTGGAAATCAACTCCTCTTGGCCTGCAATCCTCAATGCTCTGTGGATGGAGCCATGGCCTGCCTGACGCAGGAGCAGTGGCGCTGGGGACCCGGCTTGGGAGCCAGCAGCAACCAAAGGGTTTGTCTGGGACCAGCAGCCGCAAGTGAGAATAACTTACACACAGCCTTTGTGCTGCCACCGCCACACTCTCCAGGGGCTGCCATTTGGCCTGGATGATGCCCTGGCTGTGCTCAGTGCATGGGAGCAGGAGAGATGCTGTGGGTGCCCGGCTCCTGCATAAGGATGGAGAAAGCAGCTTCCACTGGGGAGCTGGCACCTACCTCATGGTCTCACAGTGTCCCAGGCCCTGAACCTGACCCCACCCACCGGTGGCTAGCAGAGAGGGGAACCAAGAGCCGTGCTGCCATCGGCCATGCCCGCGCACACCTGCCTCTCTGAGCCAGCAGGGGGTTAGCGCCCCTATGACCAGCAGTCACCAGAGCACCGAGTATCCGGCCCCACACTGGCAGGGTTGGAGTGTTGCCTACGACGTCTCCTACTGCCCTGTCCCAGGTGAGATGTCACAGGGCAGCTCATCTTCCATGCAGGTAGGCACGGCTTGGGGATTCCACAGCCCTGGATGGCGAGGTAGCGGGAGAACTGGCAGTGCCCCTGCAGCACAGGGAAGAGCCCCAAAACTGGAGGCATCAGGGGAGCCACCAGTTACCCAGGCATGCCCCCCTCCCTCC